AGAAACAAAATGATGACCAAATAAAAATTAAAGATATAGGCTTCTCTCCTTATCACTCCCCAACTTTCTCAATCACTGTATCATAAAATGAAAGTTTCAATGTTTAAAAACTTCTTCCTTAGATACTACTTTTTCTTGCCAACCAAACAAATAATTAATATAACAAAAAAAAAACTAATATGTGGGCATACCTTCTTGATTGACTGCCCATATCTAGAATAATCATATATGCAAAAAGCACATAAACAAATAAAAATATATATCACTTAAATAAAATGTTTTAGATTAAGTTTTTCAACTTACCACAATAAGATAACTTAGAAATATAAACTAATTCACTTAAAAATCATACATTTGACCCAAATCAATTGCATTACTGTGTAAGTAAAGCATAGTTAACACCTCTTTATGATTCTTTTTATACACCTCTGATTTCCTTTTTCAAATCTTTACAATGTTGATGTTCTTTTTCGCCACCATTCCATTCATCACAAGCTTTCATGCACTGTCCACCATCATATATAAGGGTGTAATCGATCAAGTTCAAGCCGATATAGTATTAACCTTAAGCTTGACTCAAAGTTCTAGACTCAAAACTTGACTTGAACTCAATGGAGTTTTATTTTTTTAGTTTGAGTTTGATTCATTATAGAAATCGAGCTATTCGAGCTCGCTCGATTAGGCTCGATTAATATGTAAAAATAAGTTTGATTTTTATATTCGATAAAAGTTTGATTATTTGAACTCGAGCTCGAGCATGAGCTTGAGTTTGAGATGTTTTATTAAATAAAATAATAAAAACATATTATAAAATAAAAGCTCGATTTGGCTCACGAGCTACTTAAGTCGGGTATAAGAATACTCGAATTCAGCTTGATCGATAAGTTAAGCTACTCAAGCTTAAGCTCAACTCAATAATAATCAAGCTGAATTTAAGTTTTATTCGAGTTGAACCTGAATAACTTGTGAGTATTAATGTATTATTTACACTCCTAATCATATGTGATCTCTCATAATAAAAAATAAATAAATAAACCTTTTTTGCCTTAAAATATGAACATTCGCCTATGGGGAAAAAGAAAAAATTTGTGAAAAAAAATAAAAAACATTGATGGGTTTCAATCAGTACTAAAAAAACCAAAACCTAAATGCATGCAATACACCAACCTTAAATTTAGTGATATAAATAAATATATTTAGAGAGCTTCCAATGTTAACGCTTCATTGCATACCATCTAAAGATTTTCTAAACTTCTTTGGCTTAATATAAATAAATGAAAACAAAGGTTTCCTCATTCTTTTCAAGATTGAGAATTAGTAATATCAGTAATTAGTAAGGAGACAAACCTTGCAAATTGACATGAAATCCTAATTAGATTCATTATCTTTGATTCTAATGTTGGGTGATTTGTTACAAACTCCTTTAAAATGGCCAATCTCTTTAACTTCCCTACTAAAACCCTAGGTTTCTTTACAAACCTCGTTGCCTTCTTTGTTTTAGGGTCACTACAATTTTTATAATAGAATGAAACTTATAAATAACATTAATTATAAATAATTAAAGCTCCATTTGTTTCACTAAAATTGACTTTCAAAAAATATTTTTTGAAAATGTTTATATTTTCTGAAATAGTATAGATTTTTTGTTATTTGGATGAGTTAATGAAAAATATTTTCTATTATTTGGTTGTTTTCTGAAAATTGTTTCTTTTTTCAAATAATATTAATATAACTATTAAAATATTAAAAATTATTTATTATTAAAATATATTTAAAGTATTTATTATTAAAATTATTAATATTCAAAATAATTATATTTACATAATAATATTTTATGTTAAAATATTATATTAAATAAGAATACTTAAAATAAAACTATTTATTATTCTTTATATTAATATTTTAAAATATTTAAAATAGTATTACTATTCTTAAAATATTATTTTTATTAATATTAAAATAATAATATTTATACCATTAAAATATATATATTTTATATTGAAAGTTTCTATTATTAAATCATAACAAAAATCTTTTTTATTTATATTTATTATTAAAAATGTAATATAAATACCTTACTAAATAAAAATATAAAATTATATATTTTAAACTAAAAAATTTATAAGAAATTATTAAAAATATTCATATTAAAAAATATTATTATTATATTATTTAAAATTAATTATTAAAATAATAAAAATATATTTATATATTATTATTAAATAATAATATAATATTATTTATTACTGAAATACTAAAAATATTTATATCTAATAATATACAAAATAAAAATATTTAAAGTTGAAATATCAAAAAGACTTTTAATATTAATATTTTAATTTTTAATTAAAATTTAATAAAATATTATAATATTTTAAGTCGAATCAAATCAAGTTTGTGCTTAAAATATTATGTTTAAAGTTTTACTTGAATAAAATTATAAAAATATTTAAAATTAAAATATTAAAAAACTTTTAATATTAATATTTTAATTTTTTAAAGTAAAATTTAATAAAAATATTATTTATTAATATAATAATATTTTGAATCGGATCAAATTAAGTTTGAGTTTAAAAAGAATAATGTACATGATCTGATTAGAATAAAATTATGCTGATAAATAATTTTATTTGTAGACAATTTTTTTAAAAATTGTCTTCTCTTTTTCAAAAGGATAAAACAATTTACAGATAACTTGCTTTTTTTTTTTTATCAATAAATTATTTTTCATTGATCAATTAATTTTTTACCAATTAAACGCTTAAAAATATAAAAATTACTTTTTAAAAATCATTTTATACGAAATAAATTGAGCCTAAATAAATAAAAGGATACGAAGATATAGAATAAAAAATCAAATAAATAGCATTAATTATAAAAAGAAAACAAAATCAAAATGGTTTTTCATGTATCAAAAAAGTATACAAATATAATAAACATTAAAATAATATAACAATCCAAAGTTAAAAGCAAGTGATTGGAATATCTTAATATGACGAAAAAGAAAAGTTCATACGAAAATTTTGTCCATGAAACGCGCCAACTTTCCTGTTGCCGATTGCACCGAGATGTCCTACGCCATCATGGGAGTTGAGCTACAACATCATTGGTGCTCCAGCCACAGCAGTGGTTCCAGCCAAGCCACCATCGGGTCCTACTAAGCCCCACTCAGTTGTCGCGAAATTAGAGAATCTGAGGATTTGCTCGAGGAAATCATCGACGGAGGCCTCGTTGGGGTTTTTGACCATAAGAAAGTCGAAGTGGCGAGTTATGGTACTAAAGTGCATCTACTTGCAAAAAAGAAATTGCGAAAGAGGATTGAACCAAACAAAATAAAATAAAAAGGAATATTAAAAAAAAAGACTTCAATTTTTTCTTTGAGTTTCTTTCTTTCTCTCTCGGTGAGATGGGAAAGTTCTTTTTTTTTTTTTTTTTCTTTATGAGAAAGAAACAGAGTGGGGGAGGGAATTATCTCTTCCCAAATTATCCCTCTAAATCTTTTTTAAGACATTGATTAGTTGTCGTTATCTATAAAAATGGAGATTATTTTTATATATTACTAGAATTTGGCTCCCATTATGTTGGGACTGATATTTTTCATAGATTTTTTTAATTTTTAATATACTTATTATCATTTTAATTTAAAGAAATCTAAAAAACATAAAATATTATAAAATATTAAAAGTTTAAGAATTTAAATATAATATTTAACATGTTATGATTATTGTTTTTGGTTATGATTTTTAAAATTATTTTATCAATTGTATAATCTTTTCAATTTATCATATATTATAATTTTTTTTTGTGAAAACAAAGAAAAATTAGAACAATACAAAACTATAATTTTTTATGAAAAATTTGTTTATTGTTAAGTATTATACCTCACAAATATATAATAAGATTATATGTCACAAAAAACAAAAATATACAATATAATATTAGAAATTTACCCTAAAATCACATTTTGAATTTAGATTTGGGTTTTCAACTTACCAAAATGTGCCTAACATTTGACCCTGAAAAGCATGAATGTACAAATCACCTCCTATAAATATAAAAATTTCAACCTCATATTTTATCATGCAACTAACTTTAAACATACGGTAGATTTAAAATTTTAATTGAAAATTTAATTATTAAACACATGTTTCTTAATTGGAGCTCCATTGAACAATTTTATTAGTGTTTCATTCGGGGATTACTTTTATATTTTGTATAGACGTATAGATGTATAGATATAAATAATTAAATTAATCATTAATCAACATTTTTAATAAATTTTTAACTAAATTATGTAATACAAATAGATAAAAATATTTTTTATTTAAAATTTTAAGAAAGGTAAATATGATATTAGTGACAAAATTACAAGGCGAGTTTTCTTGAGTGAAATTTTAGTAAAAATTATTATTGAAGATTAATGATAATTAAATCATAAAAAATTGATTTTTGCTTGAAATTAATTAATTTATATCAGTTTGATTATTTTTAATTAATAAAAATAAATTAATTAATTTTGATTAATTTTTAATAGAGATCAATTAAATCAATTTTTTAATTTTTAAAATCAAATCGATTGATTGATTGCTCACATCTAATCTTACTAAAACACAGACCAGGAAGTTGAAAATAAAAATACTAAAAGAAAATTCCGAAAATTTTTTAGAAAAGAGAGTCGGGTCAAAACCTTTGACACAAAGGCAACATACTGTGCAATAATACATTAGCCAGCAGGCAGTGGGCTACTCAATTTAATAAGATTAATTAACTTCTCCTAATTTGGCAGTTTCTGAATGAATTTAATTAAAGAATTAAGCAAACAAATGTTTTTCTCTGACCAATCATTTAATAGTAACTTTGAATCACATCATTTTAAAAAAGAAAGGAAATAAGAAAGCAAGTTCCCCTCTTTTTCTGGCTCACATGCAGCCTTCCCATATTGGACCCTGTCTTGGACCCTTCTTATTCTTATCTATTCAAAAAAGAGAAAAAAAAAAAAAAAAAAAAAAGGAAAATCTAGAAAAACCAAAATTACTTAAAAAAACAAAAATTGTAAAATTTTTTCTTTCTCTTCTGTTCTGCTATCTTCAGCCCCAAATTAAAATTCCAATAACATTCACAAAAATTTCAATTTCAGAATTTCACCTTTTAAAAATCCTTCTTTTCATCTCTATACAAAAAGGAGTAACTTGGGTATTTCTCCTTTTCAGTTTTTGATTTTTTTTTCTTTTGTGAACACTTCTCTTCTTTTCTTTTTTTGTTGGGTTTTCTTGAAAGGTGGGGTTTTGTTTACTTTCTTTTATAGTTATTCTTTTCTTTGATTCTTTGTCCATCATTTTTTCCCTTAACTTCTTTACCAGATTCCCCACCTGGGTTTCTTATTTTAGTTTTATTTTTATTATTTTCACATAGCCACATGCATTTTCTTCAGTTTGTCTGATCTGGATTGGATCACAAGGTTCTTTTCTTTTCTGTTTCTACTTTGAAGAACAGTACGAGAGAAAGTGAAAGGGAAGGGGTCTTTGGTGGGGTTAAAAGCTTGACAAATCTCTTCTTTCTTTGTTGGGAGAGCAATCTTTGGTTGCTTGGAAGAAAAGGAGAAAGAAAGAATCAGGTCAGATTTTTTTTCCTTTCTTCCATTTTTTTTGGATCTCTATTTTGGGTCCACCAAAGAAGATTCTTTTGTTTTTCCTTGTTGTTTCTGTTATGATAGTTACAATAACTGTCTAATGTTGTATTTCCTTGTGGATGGAATGGTTTTGGCCAAAATTGCAATGTACTGCTCATTCTAGTGAAAGTTATGAATTGTTTGTTTTTTCTTTTTCATTTGTTTGAGTTTGTTGGTTTGTAGGGGGGAATAGTCTACTTCTGCTGTGCTTACATTGCTGGGGGCTTTTGAGTTGAAATTGAGATTTTTAGAGTTGAATGATTGAGATTGGGTTTCAATAGGAATAGCTGGTCTTGGAATTGATAGCACATTTTGACTCCTGAGGCATGGCGGGTATTGATGTTTCTAAGTATGCACATAGCGCTGTGCACAAGGCTGTTGCCACGAGGGATTATGCCAGTCTCAGGAGGATACTTGCTGCTCTCCCACGTCTTGGTAATCCGGCAGAGATTCGAACAGAAGCAGCCTCGTTGGCTGAGGAAGAGAAGGCTGATGCGATCGCTGCTGTGATTGATAGGCGTGATGTTCCTAACCGGGATACTCCTCTTCACTTGGCTGTTAAACTTGGTGATGAAACTGCAACTGAAATGCTTATGGTTGCTGGTGCTGATTGGAGCTTGCAAAATGAACAAGGATGGAGTGCACTTCAAGAAGCAATTTGTAATAGGGAAGAAGCTATTGCTATGATTATTGTTCGGCATTACCAGCCTTTGGCATGGGCAAAATGGTGTAGAAGGTTGCCTCGCCTGGTGGGAACTATGCGAAGGATGAGAGACTTTTACATGGAAATCACATTCCATTTTGAGAGTTCTGTGATACCTTTCATTTCCAGAATTGCTCCTTCAGATACATATAAAATTTGGAAGAGGGGTGCAAATTTAAGAGCCGATATGACTTTGGCTGGATTTGATGGATTCAGAATTCAGCGTTCAGATCAGAGTATTCTTTTCCTTGGTGATGGTTCTGAGGATGGGAAGGTTCCTCCTGGATCACTTTGTATGATCTCACATAAGGATAAAGAGGTGATAAATGCTTTGGATGGTGCTGGTTCTCAAGCAACTGAGGAAGAAGTTCGACAAGAAGTGGTTGCAATGTCTCAGACTAATATATTCAGGCCTGGGATAGATGTGACGCAAGCAGTTCTTATGCCACAATTGACATGGAGGCGACAAGAGAAAACAGAAATGGTGGGTGCCTGGAAGGCTAAGGTGTATGATATGCACAATGTTGTTGTTAGCATCAAATCTAGGAGGGTGCCTGGGGCCATGACAGATGATGAGTTCTTTGCAACTTCTAATGAAAATGAAACAGAGAGTGAAGAGCTCAATGAGATCTTGACAGAAGATGAAAGGAGACAACTTGAAGTTGCTCTTAAGTTGGATTCTTCAGAAATATCGATTGAGAATGGTGATGGCATTATTGGGCATCGCCATAGTTGTTATGAGTCTAGGGAAATTCCCATCGAGGAGTCCAATGGTTATAAAAATGGAGAGACTAAGCCAGAAAAGAAAGGGTGGTTTGGTGGATGGAGGAAACGGGATTCAAAGCAAGACATGCAGAGGAAGATTGTGCCACCAAGAAGTTCTCTTTGTGTAGAAGAAAAGGTGAGTGACCTACTAGGTGATTCTCCATCTAGGAGTCAGATCAAACCTGGTAGACATTCTGTGGAGATTGTGGCAAGGGATGATCATCGGAGGATAAGAGATTCGAGAACATCTACTTCCATGAGTTTGGAGAGTGGTAATCGGCGTAAGGATAGTGGCCGTGAAAATGAGTATAAGAAAGGATTGAAGCCTATTCTTTGGCTTTCTCCAAACTTCCCACTGCAAACTGAAGAACTCCTACCGTTGCTTGAGATTCTTGCAAACAAGGTTAAGGCGATTCGTCGGTTAAGGGAATTGCTCACTACAAAACTTCCAACAGGAACCTTCCCAGTCAAGGTAAGGTCTTTTTTTTTTTCCCACTCTAATTGGATCCTCTTTTCATTGCTATTCGTTTTTGCAATCTTTTAGTGGAACTCTATGTGTTTTTTGCTTTAACATTTTTTTTTTATCTTTATTGTTCAGATTTATGTTGATTCGCATGAGGCACATGTTTTAGTGACCATATTCTTTTTTCTCTCTTATCTTATGATGTTCTGATCTCACCACTTGTCAATTTGGGGAAGGTATTTTTATCTAGAGGGATGTGTTTTGGGAATTTCTTAGGTTTTTGAAATCTTAGGCTGATCACCTGTACATTTGTAAATGATATTTTGCATGGTATTTTGATGCTTGCTTATTACTCAAAATTTGTGATCCATTAAATTAGAACTTTAAGTGAATTATCAGGAAAAATAGATGCTTTTCTAAATTAAGATGTTAGAATCCGTTTAATCTTATAGAAGCCACATTGGGCTTATACTTGACTTCCAAAGGGTTTAAGACCAGGATTTTGGTATCTGTGTGACTGGTATAAGGTACAGTTCTTCCCTTCCTTCTGTTGATGTATAGACTTGTCAGGTGAAATGGATATACTTACATTCTTACATTCTTTTAGTGTCAGTGCACCATACTCATTCCTCAGTTTTTGGGCTCTGTGCAAGAAATAAGAGAAAAATAGGGATTGTGGTTATATGCACTGAATGCTAGTCATTGCTGTAGTTATCCAGTAATGATTGGGAAACCCTATAAAATAACCTATATGACAATTCTATGGAGGTTTTATTTCTGCTTGCACATTTGAGCTTTTATTCCTTATAGTAGCTATCATGATAGATTTTTTTTGTTTCTTTAGTCCTTTGTTTTTTATTGAAGCAAAAAGGTCACCTAGTTGGTGCTTTTTTCCTCAAAATTACTTTCTTAAGATTTTGATGGTCTTACTTTAATTTCCATTTCCCAGCATTATCCAACTAAAAAGTTATGATCTGTGAAACCTTTGACTTTTTTGCTAGTTGTTTCAACCTTAAAGTTTGGCATATAGTGATTGAAGTGTGGGAGGTACTTACCATAGCTTTCTCACTACAGGCAATTGGAATGGAAATCATATGTTCATGTGCATGGGAGAATTGCTTTCTAGTTTTCTCTTTTCATGCTGTGTATACTTTCTTTTATTTTTGGTTGGTTGAATTGCCCTTTGCTGTAGGCTCAATACTTGAAGTCCTTTTTGACTCTGCTGTCACTTGTTCTTCTTGCATTAGAAGATCTTGATTTAAGTTTTATTTCCTCTTTTTTCTTGATAAACTTTTTTCCAGGCATTTAAAAGCTGCAATCCTTTATTTGTTTTTAATTCTAATCCTTGATATACTGACAATGTGGTAAACAAAACTTTATTGTGTCTAGGCATATGCTTCTTGGGCCTAAAAATATTCTACCTTTTCTTTTGGTTGTTTATTTGTCCATTCTGCTCATGAGCTATATCATGACTTCCAATAAACTATACCTGTTCCCAGAATATGACACCATGCATGTTTTAAGCTTTGCTTGGTATAAAGGATGGAAAACTTGTTAATCCAATGGTTAAGATTCATAATCACTTTATTACTATGTAGCTTAGTCATTAGATTAACAGGTTTTCCATCATTGCCCCTTTCCATCCTTCCTACAAAGCAAAGCCTTGACCTCTTTTAGTATATTTGTTCATTTTGAGTCCAGTGGTGTGTTCCAGATTAATGATGTACTTGGTTTCTGACATGATTATGGCTTTATGGGTTCCTTCGACCTTGTGATTGTGCTCTTTCTCCGTGTCTCACCAGGAATGCCATAAACAATCATTTACATTGAATTGAGTAGAGGTCATGAAGCACAAATTGGCATAAAGATGTCATACTTGGTATTTCTTTTCAGATAGCATCCCTTTTTGCAATCAAAATGTGGTATTTATTTGTTTATTTGTTTGTAAATAAAATTTATAAAAGATAATTTCAGTTACTCATTTGTATATATTTTAGTTAGGATTCCCCAAAATACTCTTTTTAAGAGTAGAAGTTTACCTAATTTTATGGAGAAGTTTTTGATGGTTAATTTAGTTTATCTATATTGTGTAAGGAGTTGTTGAAATGGAGAAGTGCATCTCTGGACTTGTTATGCTAGAGGCAAAAATCTGTGACTGCATGAAATGAATGCAGATGGTTAAGCTCTACAATAAATAATATTGTTTTAACTTTTAACTAAGAAGTCCTCATGGTTGCCCTTAGGTTGCTATCCCAGTGGTTCCAACAATCAGAGTGATGGTTACTTTCACAAAGTTTGAAGAATTACAGCCTGTGGATGAGTTCTCGACACCCCCTTCTAGCCCCACTGCTGGCCGAGAAAGCCCTGCAGCTACACATTCCTCGGGTTCATCTTGGTTTCAGTGGATAAAGGCACCATATCACCGCCCTAGCTCATCCAATCATAGCTACAATAAGATAGAAAATCTTCAAGATCCATTTGCAATACCTCCAGATTATACTTGGCTTACAGCTGAAGCAAAGAAAAAGAAGATGCAAGAGAAGAGCAAATCAAAGAAAGGTAAGAGTCCGAATCATTGAATTTAGGCTAAGATCCAGATGTATAACAAGTTCCAGCTTTCCAAAGGAACTCCATCAGATACCAAATAGCAAATAGTGTTTCATTAATTCTTAAAATTTGTGTCTCTGTTAATGAAAAAAGGAAATAGAAACATAGATTACAGGGGCTGTTTTCTATCAAGCGTGGATAGATTATTGGGGCTCTTTTCTATCAAGTGTGGATAATCCCTTCTGTTATGGGAAAATTTCGTATATTGTTGTGGGGATGGAAAAAGGGTGAAAAAATATGTGATTCTTACAGCATTTGCTTGGCATTTGGTGGGATGTTACCCTCTTTGGATTACTGATTTACATCCTTTACGTTTGACTAACTTTTGACTACAGTTACTGACAGAATTGGCAAAGTTTTATTCCTGGCAGCAGTGTCAAGTTTTAATGCTCCTTTAGTTTTTATTTAATTTTTGTAACCATTTAGATAATTTGTTAGAAGAGGTTATTAAGTTTTCTTCTTGTGAAATGTGTCTTTTTCTCTGTTTTTTTCCCCTTGCATCCCATATGGACAGGAATCAAATTTAAAAGTTCTTGTTTTCTTTCTATAATTTATCTGTATTTGTTCCATTCTTTTTGGGTACAATGGACCGGAAAAAAAGTCCTTGCATCTGTGCTATTGTAAAGCAACGTTGTCCCAAATTCTGATGATGGCATGATTGATGGAGATATAATCGAATATGGCAACAGTTTCAGAATACCCTTTCGTTGAAAAACTGTGATGCCCATGGAGTCAATTCATTCATTATATTATTCTTTGTGCATAGCTCCATTTATCATATCACATATTGGAGCTTTCAAGATTCAAACACTAAATTGATATTTCAAGAAGTCTTGTTCGTAACACAGTTTCCTCACCACTACCGTAGAGTCAAATTCTGTTTTCACCTCAATCATTGCTTATTCTTAATGCTGTGAATGTTGGAAATGCAATTGGAAGGATCCAGTTGAATCTAGAGCAAAAACATTTTTGGATAACTGTGACTTTGATTTTGATGCTTTGAGTCTGGTCTGACTGGCCCTTTTTCCCTTCATTGAATTACCAACCTATTGTAAGGTTCTTGACCTAAAGGGCCACCAAACAAAAGTCTCTTTGGTTGCATGGTAGAGGAATTTCTATGGTATTGTAATTGCGTTTTATCGTTGGATTTTTTTTTTTTTGGTTGTACCGTAATTGCATTTTATGATTGAATCTTTTAAGAGTACAATTATAAAACTACATATAGCGAACGATGGGAGTTCTCTCATTATGCATCCGAATGAAACTTTAGTGCTGATAAGAGTAAGCACCTTGGTCTTTGATGGTGTGCCTCTTTCATTGAAACAAAGAATTGATAAAACATTTTGTTTCTTTCTTCTGCCTGCCAATGAGGCATTGATTACTAAAATAACAAATCAAGCTAGGCTAAGGCCTAACCGTCATTTCAAATTCACTTCACATTCATGTTTGGCAGACATCAAAACCTTTTTTCAATACTATTTTGTAACTGTTCCAAGTTCTACATATACATATATAATGAATTTGAAAATAATGGAATTTGATTATGCTGCCGTGTGGTAATGTGTCCATCCAAGTATGAATTAAGACAAGTTTATAAGTTTAATATTTCTTTATAAAAAGTAAAGTGGCAACAATTCAATCAAATATAAAAGCATCTTAGCAATCATGTTTTATGTTAGTGCTGTAGAGGCGTGTGCATTTATGCTATGATTGTGGTAATGAGCAAAGATTTCGACAACTTGTCTTTTTGGGGTCCTACTAGGATCTGCAAACCTCATAATAATGTCAAGTTATAGCCATGACCAGCATTGTACAGATTGGAAACTTTGAATTTCCTGGGAAAATTTTCAGTTCCAAGCCAGCTCCGTTGGCCCTTGTCGAGATCATACAAAACAACTAGAATGTTCAAGATTTCAATAATTTCAAGGTTAATTGAAGATTTTGACGCAGAGTAAAGGAAAATTTTGAAAAAAAAATTATAAGTTTCTTGACCTGCAGTAATTTCCATATGATTTTGAACTCATATGATCACTAGATTCACATACCAAAGGGGCCAGTTCAATGACAAATGCACCTAAAAAGAAGAGGAAACATATGCACCTGTTTTGCTATAATTATGACCTATTTGCCTTTTTTTTTTTTTACTTTGAGGGTGGGGCACAAGGGAACACTCAAAATTAACACCCCTGCCGGAGAGGGGGCCATGCCTCTTCTCCCCATGCCTCAGATTTAAAGACATTGATTGAACAATGAAGACTCTTGTTGGCACTAATTAAGCAGCAAAACTCATTTTTCATGCATTCCTTAACCATAAACGAGTCTTTATACTTGACAAATCTGTCTGCAATGCATCCCTACTTTGAACAGATAGCCGATCATTTGTTTCAGCTAATCAGTTTTGGGGCATTGTTGAATCTGATGCAGCATATTTCTGTCAGTACTTTCTGTATCAACATGTGGGGAATTGCATTTTTGAACTCTGCAAATTTAGCTAATAATGAATAAGCAACATCTTGCACTAAGCAGTAGAATATTCATGTAAATCTTCTATACAATTCTCATCCAAGATTTTCATAAATTAGCCATTAAGGTCATCTTGAAGAAGGACCGTACCTATCAGCGAATGTTGCTTCATTGAATTGCACAAACGCATGAGTTCCTAACTCCCTCCAGCTCTCCATCGTCTGACACACTTTTATGATAAAAAACAAACAAAGACTCAGAAATATAGAAAGTTGGTTTAACAAGTGCATTTAAAATATTTCAGAACGAGACACAATGAGAAATGTGCAGTCAACTAGCTTGGAATTCTCTTCCTATTCTCACTGGATTTATCACAACGACAGCTATAAAGTTGTAAATGTGAAACACATGCCTCGTTTTGTTGTCCCAAAAATATTTTTCATTTCATAAATGTCCTCAAATTAATTCAAAAACTGCCAAAGATTGTTTATTGACTGAGGCCTTTAGCTAGCTACAGGGTCAAACATAAGAGGGTAAAAAGCTACTTCCATAGGAAAGATGGGCAGATGAGTAAACTTGTTACGCTATTTGCTGTAAATTTCCATTTTTTGAACTCGCAGGTGTTTAGGTATCAATATCATGCAAAGATATGTTATATATAAGATAATATTACCTTGGCTCAAACTCCTGAACATGAGCAATATCCTTTCCATGAGCATCTGGCCAACTTACTTTCCTCCTTTCTGTTTTTAACTGATTCTCCTCGTCTACTAGTGTAGTTGTTTTCTTGAGATTACTCTTGCGAGTGGGAATTAGTTCAATGTGAGGCCCATTTGTCCCAGCACTACTACTGCATCTACTGTTGCTGCTGCCACCATTGCTGATCCTGTCTTGGCCTAATTGTAATTCATCATTATTACCAACTTCTTCCATGACCCCATCTTTAATAGTCTTTCCCACAGCAGACCCCTTCTTGATGTTGCTGCTGCTGCTTCTGTTGTTAATTTCTTCACCTTTGCTATCCAAATTCCTTGATGGTACATAGCAAGAGCACACTAGAGCAGTGCACCTGTTCTGCGCCGACGCCGCCAGGAGTACAGCCCTACACAAAATATCCTTTCAATATATTTGCTTCCTAGCTACTTATTGATCATACCAAGACCAGAACCCTGATTTGTTTATTATGTCTACTTGATCAAACCAAACAAAAATGGTGAAGAAATAGCTTCATGTATATATGACATATGATGCATTAGTATAACTTTGCTTTACATAGAAGAGAGTGGAATAGGAATAGGAATTGGAAGATGTGATGGAATTTTTAGGTTAGAAAAAGATGGATGGTTGGCTGGATATAGAAGGCAAGTGCATGCAATTATGTGTTGATATAGCATCTCCCTCTCCCCCCCCCCCCCCCCACTCAAAGATGTTTTCTTTTGCTTTTTCCCCTCAGCACTCATTAGTGAGGTGAAAATGGGGTGAAACAAAAAAGGATTGGCCAACTTTTAACTGTTTCTGTGGGGTGGAATGTATATGTTTTCATTGTTTCGTTATAGTTTGAGATAGGCATCTTATCTTTTTTTTTTTCCTTTCTCATTTGTTTTGCCTTTTCATGGCACGAGAGCCTGCAATCAATAAATGGTAAAGAGAGAAAATAATTGTAGTTTCACAGGACATTAGTATAGGGGAAAAAAAGGAATAAAGAGAGAATTAATCTAAAACTTCTTTTTGTTTGCAAGGTGGCCTTATATAAATGCTTTGTGTTTTTGGGGTTTGGGGGGGCTTCATTTGTTAGGGTTTAAAGGAATGTTTTATAATTAACATCAAAATCAAATCTTTCAATTCCATTTTTCCACTCTTCACATAGTTTTAATCTCACGAGATGGTATTCCAAATATTCTTTTATATATTTAAATATGTTCATTGCTTTTTATTAGTATTTGAGATTATCTGAATTTAAATCCTAACGAGTGATATTAAGATTACTTTTCCAACTTATTTACTTTGGCATTTTGTTCATCATCAACGTCCAAAACAAATTTATTTTTCACTTAATTTCTCTCTTCTTTGGGCACATTTGGACAAAACTGCACTACTACATTCAAAATAACACAACTGGGTATCGATTTGGTCCTATTATTTTAATAGCAAGGAAGATATCTGGGAAAATTAAATTAATTTCCTGTTTAAATTCTATCATTTGTATATAACTGCTCTTAATTTATATATGTAAGATTTTGTAGGTTGACTTTTTTTTTTTTTTTGGTGATCTTTTATACTGATTGTAAAAAATATTTCACACGTCGAAAGTTATTCGAGTATAACTATAATTATAATTTTTATTTGCATATAATTTCAATATTTATGTATTTTATCATCAACCTGATGAATTAATTTTAATATATAAAATTTTTCTATTTTAACAATTTGTTTTTTTTTTTAATCAGTTCAAATATCTATGGATTCATTGTTTGCTTACCAACTTCATACACAACTTAAGAAAACACAAATTAATTAATTTTTTTTTTATGATGGATCAATGGTGATATAAAATTTAGTAATTGATCCAAAATCTCACAAAATCATACATTGATCGACATGTGATTGGTGGATTTCGAAACAACCTGAAAACATAGAGAAGTGAGGATTTTGAATTAAAACGTAAAATATATTTTTATTTTTAAATTATAAATATATTATAACCTAAAATAGAAGATGTGAAAATGGAGGTGTTTGAATAAAATAAGTTTGATTCCCGTTAAAAAAAATTTTTAATAAAGTTTTCCTGTCAAGTTATTAACAAAAAAAATAATAATAATAATAAAGATATTCCTTATGTTCTTGTTAAGTTTTATTTCTTTTCCTGATATGTAGAAGGTCATAATCTAGGAAACATTATTTTATTTTATTCTTCTTTGTTGATAATTTGACGGGAATCAAACTTATTTAATTCAAACACATCGATTTGAATATCTTTTATTATGAGCAATAATTTATTTATAATTTATATAAACATACAGATATGAAGAATTTTTTAAATTGATTAAATGAGCATGATTGTTAATTATATTTCTAAATTATCATTTTAGTAATATTTTTATTAAATATTAAGATTTATACAATAAATAAAAAGTGAATTAATTTACTATAAAGTAGGTTATAATATGCTAGAATATTAGATTTTGAAAGAAATTAATATACAAAAGGCCACGTAGACACTGTAATTTCTAAATTTTCATCCTAAATATTTTTATTATTAATAATATTTATTCAATTTATAAGTAAGAAAATTTTACTTTATTAAAATATTTTTTAAACGGGTTTATTTGATAACAGGTAAAAAGTTAAACTTTAGACTGAATTGCATCATTTTCAGATGTTTATTTAATTATAAATAAGAGTTTTAATTTCATTAAAATTGAATTGCAGATTTCTAGTTTTTTTTATTAATCTTAAAAAATAAATGAATTTGTTTGATAAATAAAAAATTAAAGTTTATGCTGATTTTTTTATTTTAAGAATATTATATTTTATATTAACATTAAAAATAATAAAATTTATATTAATTTGATATAATTTGACATGTTAATACAAAATTTGATTAATGTATTTTATTAATTTTATTTATTTATAAAATATACAATTTATATGTTCAAAAATATATAAAACAAAGAGTATTTAGTGTCATGATAAAAAATACTAGTTAAAAAAATTATTTTAATGAGAATTTCAATTTTAATCAAATAAATAAATTAAAATAATTAAAATAATTAATTTAAAAATAATTAAAAAATATATAATTTAATCTATATACTTAAAATAAACTTGATAATTTGTATTATCGTATCATGTAAAATATTATATTTGTGTCATGTTTTATATAAAAATTTATATAATTCAGTTCATTTCGATACGAAAATATAAAATATAATTTTTATATTAAACCTATTTATAATTTTTTAAACTTTTAAGTCATGTTATTTTTATATTTTTTATTTATATTATTTTTATATTATATCATCATATTATATTTTAAATTACCTAATCTAATTTCAAGTTACAGAAAATGCGAAAAGGAAAGGTGCCACCGCCTTTCTTCAATTCTCTTTTTTCTTTAAAATTTTTTAATTACATTTATTTTTATTTTTGTATTATTTTTATTGTTGAACTTTTTTGGTTTTTTAATTTTATTTTTATTATATAAATTTTGTAAAAAATATTAATGAAAGTAAAGATAATAAAATAATTTGTATTTAATTAGTTTTGGTTTGTATTAATTTAACATAGGTGAGATTTTTTTAGATATCAAAATCGGATTGCAGTTTTCCCTTTTTTTTTTTTTTTTTTTTTTGTAGAAAATGGGATTAGGTTGGAGATAAATTAAAGCTATTCCTTCTCGTGCAATATGTTCACGTGACATTTCTTTTATTTTTTTATTTTTTTTAAATATTTGTTTTTTTAGGTTTTTCTAAAAAAATTTTTACTTTTATTTTTTAGATTTTTTTATTTTTTATCAGATAAATTAAGATAAAAATAACAAATAATCTTATCCAATAAGTTTCGATTTATTTTGATTTAATTGATGTGTATTTTTTTAATTCAAGATAATTAAATTAAGTTTATATTTTTAATTAGACTTTGGTAAGAATAAAATTTTTGATATTATGTCTCGATTTTAGTATATATAAAAATATATTTTTTATTTAATTTTATATTTATATATAATTTTATTAAAAAATATTATTTAATACATTAATTTAATAATTTTATGTGTGGTCCAATTTGATTTTTTTTATCTTTTTTATTAAATAATTTTTTTTTAAAAATTAATTGATATAAGGATAACAAAATAAATTTTATCCGATAGGTTTTTATTTGTTGTGATCAAATCGATGTCTTTTTTTAGTTTAAATAAAAATTGGATTAAATTTTATTTTTTAAAACGATTTAGATTAAGTCAGAATTAAATTTAAGGTACTTGGTCAACTTCTTTCCTTATATATAAAAAAAAAATTTAATTATTTAATTATTATATATTTATATATATTATATTAATAAAAATATTATTACGACCTTAATTTAATAAAAAAATATTTTCATATGATTAAGTTATAATTTATATTAAAAATATAAATACATTTATTTGTCTTTATATTACCATCCATGATATAAAACTTTTATTTCTTTTATTTTTAAAACATAATTAAAAAAAAAAAAAATCGTGTGGCAAAATGCAAGTTTAGTTCTGGTATAGAATAGAATTATAGGAAATATTAATATAATTGAATATAGGGCACTTCTCGTGAGTCGACTCGCCCAGTCGCCAGGGTGGCTCAAAATTCCAAAACTCAGAGCAATTTAGCTGCAGCATTCCAACAAACAATGAAGAGGTGGGAATTCGGCCAAAAATTAAACTGATTTCCTTTCTCAAAATCTTTCCTTTTCCTAAATTTAGATGTTTTCAGTGCTTATTTCGCTTTTATTGATGGATTATCGGCTATAATAACAGGATTGTCGCAAGAAAATTTGGCTCAAATTTTTATAGATTGAGAATTCCATGGAGGCCATTTTGCACTGACGCATCCCAAATATTATCTAGGTCAAATGCTGGTGACCCTAAAAAGGTTTTTTTTTTTTTTTTAAATTTAAATTCGCATGCTTAAAGTTTCGGCTTTTATTTCACTTTTTTGTTTCGATTTCGATTTTAAATGTGGTTAATTTTTCTTTTGGTCTTTGTTCAATTAGTGCAAAATATTGGATTCAGTTAACCCTTTTTTTGAACATTTTAGGAGAGTGAAGGTCAACAATATGACATTGCGATTGTTGGAGGTGGCATGGTTGGCCTGGCTCTTGCTTGTTCCTTAGGTAGCTAAATTGTTTGTATTTATAATACATTTGCTTGTTAAGTAATGCAATTTATCTTGTTCTAGAGATATGGTCCATCAATTTCGTGCAAGTATAAGCACGCATACAATAGGCAATAAGTGCGTGCTACTATAAATATGTATGATTAGGACTTCCGTAATCTTACAGAGCATGTTCTTGTTGATGGCTATAAAATTCTGAAAGGATGAAATTTTTAGTTTTTATACTACATTACAATTTTAATTTGCAGCTACCAGACCGTTAACAAAACATTTGAATATTGCCATCATCGATAGCAATCCGGCTTTGGGGAGAAAACACTTCATTAAGAAAGAAGACCTCCCTGATCCCAGGGTCAGTACAGTTACACCTGCGACTATATCTTTCTTCAAAGGTAAGAAACATTATCTCTCAGCCAATTTTAATCCTTATGGTTTTGTTTTTCTGAGCATTTTGCAGAGCTCAATGAATAGATTTGTGCTAGCATCGTGCAAAACATTGAAACTGAAATTTAAAGTAGAAAGTTAAAAATTGGTTATGTTCTAGAAAGAGCTACAAGATTATGATGTTAGCAATGATTTGTTAAATTAAATTTGATTATTTTAGGACTATTACTATTATTTGTTACGACTATTACTATTATTGTAGGACCCTCCATCTGTAAGGTAAGCAAACAAGAAAGAAACCATTGGCCTAATTAATTTTTAAATATTGCTTTGATTAGTTGATGTTTTCCCTTAATTAGCTATAATATCCCACACTTGTTTGTTATGTTTATTCTACTTTCATAACAGTTGTAGCATACTTTGCAGATATTGGTGCTTGGCAATATGTTGAGCGGCATCGACATGCCTATTTTGATAAGATGCAGGTGCTGGCTTTTATATTTCCTTTTTTGCGGATGATGTCTGCTTATTATTGCCTTTTATTTACTAACATATTTACTGTAATTTACTATAGGTTTGGGATTATACTGGTCTAGGTTATGCAAAATACAATGCCAGGGATGCTGACAGAGATGTACTCGGGTAAGCACCTGCTATAAACTAAAGCGACAACTTTTGTTATCTTTTATATGCTAACACCTGCATGCTGATTTTGGACTCTGTCATTAGGTGTGTGGTGGAGAATAAGGTGCTACTTAGTTCTCTGCTGTCACGTGTGCAGGTATTAATAAGTTATGCAACCTTTAGCGTAATTACTGTGTCTCACTTAAAGTTTTTTTTTCCTATCATTTATCCTTGGAACAGTTATTTGGGCCACTGTTACTGTTGCAAAGAAAAAAAAATTACGCACTGATATTTGTTAATCTTCTTCCTTGGAAAATCATGCCTAGTTTCTGCATTCCTGTTGTGCCCCCCCCTCTTCCCCTTCCCCCCCCCCCCCCCAAAAAAAAAATATTAAACATTAAGAATGTGGTAATTTCCTGAAAATAGGCACATTCCCAATAATAATATTGTAAAAACATGCAGCTTGTTTTCTCCTATGGTCATGGTTTTACAGTCGTAATTAAACCTCAGAAAATTAAATACTTTCAGGATACAGATTTGCAGAAGAAAATATACCCATCAAGATTGACTTCAATGTCTATACTACCAAATTGTTCATCCTTGGAAGTGGACAGCACATTGTCAGTAACTACATTATTCAGTCATGGGCGTTTAGTGAAGTTAGAACTGGAGGATGGCAATAGCCTATATGCAAAGTTGTTGGTAATTAAACTTGCACCTGGATGAATCATATTGCTTGTTCTGAATATAATAGGATAAAAGTTTTATTAGATGTTTTACAGATTTTCTGAATGACATTTTTCGTTAGTAAAATTTTATTGGTGTCAAGTTACATGAGATTTATCTCAGGTAGGAGCAGATGGTGGAAAGTCACGAGTTAGAGAGTTAGCAGGATTCAGAACAACTGGATGGAACTACTCACAAAATGCCATCATTTGTACTGTAGAACATGCTGTGGAAAATCATTGTGCATGGCAGAGGTTTCTACCTGCTGGTCCAATTGCACTTTTGCCAATAGGTGATAAGTTTAGCAATATTGTTTGGACTATGAACTCAAAAGAGTCTTCGGAGTTCAAATCAATGAGTGAGGATGACTTTCTGAAGGCTGTAAATTATGCTCTGGATTATGGGTATGGTCCTCATCCTACATCAAGCTTATTGGGTAATGCAGACATTTTTTCTTGGTTCAAAGGAGATATCTCCAGGTCGGCTAATGATTGCTTTGAAATTCCACCAAAAGTAGTCAAGTTGGCCTCTGAAAGAATGGCTTTCCCATTATCCTTAAGGCATGCTAATGACTATGCATCAAAGCGTGTTGTTCTAATTGGTGATGCAGCTCACACTGTACATCCTTTGGCTGGCCAAGGAGTTAATTTGGGTTTTGGAGATGCGTCTACTCTTTCAAGTGTCATTTCTGAGGGTATTGCAGTAGGCATTGACATTGGGGAGGTATGTATAGAACTAACCATTCTGCTCAATTACTCATCTTTAAATGTTGATGTTTTTACTTTTTTTTTTCCAGGTATCATTACTGAAGAAATATGAAACAGACAGAAAACCAGCAAATGTTATGATGATGGCAGTTCTGGATGGTTTTCAGAAGGCATACTCTGTTGATTTTGGTCCTTTAAATATTTTACGAGCTGCTGCATTTCATGGGGCTCACTATATTTCACCACTTAAAAAGAGCATCATCTCTTATGCCTCAGGGGAGCAGAGATTGCTACTATTTTCTTGAAGACCTTCATAAATGTGTTTCCGGATGCTAGATAATCACAGATAAATTAGGTAAGAGTTTTCCCTTCATCATCTTGTACCGGAGTAACTTTTTTCGGTAAAGACCAAAAGAATAATTGTAAAATGTAACTTTGATATGAGACGACTTGCATGTCAGGGAATAGCGCCTTAGTAGTTGTCAGAAACTGTGGAAGCATTACTTCATGCATTTTCGTTCTGTTAGTGTTCTGTCTTTTGGAAAAAAAGGGGGAAAAATTTCTTAATGGCCACAAATACGGTTATACTGAAGAAGAAAAAGACTCATTCCGAAAGAGAGGGAGGGGGTATTCCAAATGGACTACAAGAAACCAACAAAGAGGTATCATATTCCTTGTGGATTTCAAGAGGGTAGGTGTGGTGTGGAATGATTTATTATCAGGCAGCCAAGAATTCCAATGATTCTTTACTTTTGTTTCTTTGTCCTCTTAGTTGTATTCTATTCTCTGGTATCGAGCTTCTTTACTTTAGCTTGAATCACATATGCTAAAATAGATGGTAAGAGATTAAAAGGAAAAGATAGAAAATTTGAGGTTAAGCCTACTTCCGATGAGCTCTCAAATGGATGTATTTGAGAATCCATTTAGTGTTAATGTGTTAAGCATCATGTTTTCAACAGATTCTCTGCTAGCTACAAATCCTAACTTATGTTTCATTCATATTGTTTCTACTCAGCTTATACATAATTTGAATCTGAATGGTTAAAAAATTGCAGGATATAACTACCACTTAAATCTGTCTTAATGTTTTTTTTTTTTTTTGGTACAAATGAGATAGTAATTTGGAAATAGGGGAAATATTGCAGATAATGAGATTTGAACTTTAGATTTTCTGATTTGATCTATCTTAATTTATTATGGTTTGTTTTCACTTGTGAAAATGGTGACATTCAAATTATCAGTTTTGCCAGAAAAAAAAAATCAGCTCATTACTGTTACTTATAGCAGTCTTATGTTTCATTGTAAAACCTCAGTTCAACCATAAACAAAAAGATTTGCAAGAAGTGGAATTTCAAAAAGCTGAAAACAAAACTACCCCTCTGAAGAAGATATGAAAGAGGTGGTGTATTATGAACTTCAATCCACAAGAAGAGTATAGCAAGTCATCAGTTCAACTGGCTGATGTCAACACTAGCATCTATGAAATATAGTAGTAAAAGATAACAAATTCATGGAGCAAAATGAAGTTGCAGTTCTTCAGCGTCCAAATGACTTTACGCTATCTCAATTATTTTCCATATTAAGCGGCGAGAGAAAATGGCAATCCCGGAAGCAAAGATTTGCCCTGTCAAGTTGAGTGAGCTGTAAGGAGGCTTTTTATTAGTAACTTTGCGGATGAAATGGTTCCAAGTACCCCAAGAAGTGAACCAAAAGCAATGAGGGAAAGGTTAAGAGTGAGGAGACGTCTGGATATCAGAGGCCAAGAAAGCTTGATGTAGAAGGCACAGGGTAAAATCAGGCAAATGCAGATGCTTACAAGGGAGCCAGTGAGGCTAAGCATATGCTCGAAATATGGAACAGAAAGAGCAAGGGCTAGTATCAGTAGAAGGAGAAAGGAGCCTACGCAGCCTCTTATGATCAACTTCATGCGACAACTCAGAGAATCCGGCAAATTATGCTCAAGCTGAATGGCAAAAGGAGCAAATTCAAGTGCATATTTAGTCATGGGAGTCAGCACAGTTGACCATAATGCAATTTTTGTCACAAAATGGTGTTGGGGTAAGCTGAGGGTGATCTGAGGGTTGACCTGTGGCCCAAACAACTTGGCACCCATGAATGCTAGGGCAGTGTAAAGTGCTGTGACTGATGCAAAGCTCACAATAGATACCTGGAATCAAATGCATAAAAAAACCTTGGTCAGTTGCAATATTCATGCTGCAGATATGCAATTGCTTGCTTCGTATATTAATAAAATTTTGATTTTTAGATTCTGCTTCAACTTTAAGTTTGGAATCAAGGAATACCAAAACGTAAGCAGATTCCATGCTGATGAAACAAAACTGACAATGAAAAGCAACATGGCGCATAGAGTTTTATAAAAGTTCTAGTGCTACAACAGCCTTCATGGAAAACAAATTAGCGTAGGAGATTCAGGGGGAACAGGGGAACAGATGACAGTTGGTTAGGAAGAATAGATATTTTATTATAAACCTATTAGTTTTAGACACGATACGAAAATAAAAACGATACGAAAAAAGATACAAAAGTGACACATTTAAAATTTTAACAAAAGGAAAAAAGAAAAATCTTCATAGCTATATATCTATCTACCTTAGTGAATTGTGATGGATCTTTCATGGCTTTGTATAAGTTGGGGAAAACAATATGGCCAGCATAACTGAAGATATAAAGTCCAGATATGGCAGGAATGTTTTTCATGTGTAGCACCGGTATCCTGTGGTTAGGCTTAACACCTCCAAAAATAGCAGTGCACACCACTGATGTGAAGATAATAAGTGACATGAGGATACCACCAGATGAAAGGAAAGATATGGAAGAAAGATCCCTCAACCAGAGACTTGGAAGTGCTATCAAAACGGCAATCATAGTTATCAGCTGAGATGTAGATAGCTTTACCCCCGGTAGCTTTAGTTCTGTCCCTGAGAACACTGTGATCAGATTGTCATTTAGTGAAATGGTATAAGACACAAGGGCCATGAAAATTTCCAAGTAGATGAAAGTTGCTGCCAAAACTCTTCCTTTTCTTCCAAATGCATTCTCTCCAATATCAGCATAGCTTTGTGATTGGGGATTCCTCTCAAGACATTTGCCGAGTAGATGAGAACTATAGGTGCATATAACCCCAAGTCCTACAAGCAGTAAAACAGAAGCCCATCCTCCATTTTCTAGAGCATATGGAGTTGATAACTGGCCAAGACCTGTTTTTACATGTGAACTACAATATGTTATTATTGAGGAAAGTAAGTCGTGTAAATAAATGTAAAGTGGTATCATTCATTCCTACATGCATTTTCTGCATTGGATCAAACAAGTAAACAAATATGCAGAGAGAATTAGAAAAGCTAACCTATGAGCATTCCACTCATATTTAAGACAGCATGAAGAAAAGAGCTATTAGCCCCAGATTGTTGATTGACATCTTCAGTCTTTACCATGCCCTTGATGCCGCTATTATCACATTTGCACACTTCATTTTCTTCTATACAAACATCACAGTTCACCTGTTTCAAAGCCAAGTTTGCACCATGGATTGTCTCACTTGCTACTTGGTGATGAGAGAGACAATTTGATTCAGGGCATGACAATTTTGATTTCCGCAGCTTTCCCATCATTCTTGGTTCTACTTCCAAAAAGCCTGGGCCAACAGTATCAAATAGTGAATATTGCTCACCCTAAACTTGAGAAGATACTTGACTAAGCTTTACATAAGAAGCCCAAGAGTGTCTCTATTTATAGATAAAGGGAATTTGGCATACATTGCACTAACTACAATTTGAGAGAATCTTGTTGTAACATATAGATACTGCCATAGATATAATTGAATCGGAGTTTAGTTCAATTGATTCATATAATCATATTTAAAAGATGACATCCACCAGATCTGAAATTCAAATCTTAATATTTGTAATATTTTTTTTTTATTTTAAGATTACGACCTGCTTTATAAAAAAATATTGTTATTGCCTTAAAAAAAAATTCAACAAATGAATGTATATGTACATGTTATTGTATATGATAGAAGGAAATTAACACACGTAATGCTATAACTACCATTTGCAAGATTCTGTAGCAATTATAGCCATATGATCAAGCATACGAGAGAAGGAATTAAAGAGATCAAGTGGACATATCCACAACTAGATACTCTCTGCCATATATACACCAATGGAGCTGGGCATACAAATGGAACAATTGGCTATCATTCATATTTTCAAATGGAAAGTTCTGAAACATTCATTAAAGCCGGCTTTTTATTTAAAAAATATAAATCTTCCTAACAGTATGGTGTAAGTTCCAGAGGATTAACCAAGTTTCCAAGTCTTTAGGCAAAAGCAGTAATAAAAAGAAATACCAACTTTGTAAAAGATGGTTATGCTGTTTTGTAAATTTAATGTCCATAATAAAAGATTAGAACTCGAAGTTGGTTCATGGAATCAATTTTACGATGTGACATCTAATGGGTTTAATATTCAAATTTAATCACCTGCAATTTTTTTTTATATCCAAATTACAGCCTCTTCATAAAAAAAAAAAAAAAGACTAACATGAGTGAATTTCTGATTGAGTTATTCTACAAGATACATAAATACATATATATATATATATATATATAAGTTGTCGAAATTGTGCATAAAGAATCCAAATAATGATGTAAGATCGAAAACTATAATTCATATCAAGGAACCATTAATGTGAATTTTCATAAAATTGATATGGGTTTTTGAGTTGGTAGTTTGGTTTCAAACTACATTAAAACTTGGTGCTACTAATCATCTTGGTTGGTTACTATGATGTGTGAAAATGGGCAGGTGCGATGTATTGAAATTAGGCTGCATTTGAGATGCATGGATGGAGGATCGAACAAGAATTTCTTTTTACTTAACATTATTCGGATGATATTTAAAATGTATTTTTTTTGGGGGGTAAATATCCTTTCGTAAGAATTCCAGGAAGTAGTACCGTCTGAGGCGGAAAGTTGATTATGCCAAACGAACCAGATGAAAAATTAGTGCAAGGTCCTGGCCCGGTGCTAAATGGGTAATAAACTAAAGCCAAAATTTGGTTCCCACAAGAAAATTTGCAATAAAATAACAATAGTTGGAATTTTGGTAGGGGGGAAATTGATGCCAAACGCATCTATTATGAAACTTCGAAGTGGACTCCCGTTCCAATTTACTGGTAAAGCTATACCCGATGCTACCTGCATTGACATCACTGTGGAATATATGTATAGATCCTGTTTAAGTTTGCCCATTTTCCTGTATTAGATATTGAAGCAAGATTCATGGCAAAAGCAGACATATAACAAGGATAAAATTTTATAAAGCAAAGAAACTTCTTTTTGTTCTAACAGCATATTATTTTTTATTTATAATTGAAAAAAAATTTTTTTGAAGGCTAATGCGTAAATATGGTTGAAAAAAATACTGTCTCATCCGTCCACATTTTTTTTTCCCTTTAAAAGTGAACCAAATCACTAAGATACTATTCCGCCTAATTGTTTCAAAGGGTGGAGGGGAGGGCATCTATACAACATGATACCTGATGTCAGACATTACTGGTATCTTCTTGCCTTTTCCTGCATTCCTAAAGATAACTAGTGCATTGCTTTCGGCCTCAAATTTGGAAATTAAAGGCCCATAACAACATAATATGTCTTCACCCGAACATTTGACTCATTCACTCGAACATCTGACTCAGTTGATCGGATGTAAATGTTAGAATTTGACATTTATAGCAATGGCCTGAAACTGAAAATAGGAATATAGCATCTCCTTTGACATTTATTACCCTTTATGTGGACCAGGATCCCATAGAATCCATACAAGAAATTTTGGGTCAATCTGCTGTGCATCCGCATGAAGCAGTATGAATGCAAAAGACATGTAACTGTATTGCATTTTATATATATATGATATCCCTATACAAACGTATACACAATTTGGCGAAAACAGCTGGACAATATCGAATATGATTACAAAAATGTTTCTCGAATTAAGCGTGCTAATACCTGAGATGATAACCGACTAGGCACCTCAGGAAGCACCTTGGCAGATATGCCTGGCAACACAGGAAGCAACTCTTGGACAGCCTGAGCAACATTTACACCCTGCTGATGTCAAAAATAATAATAATAATAATAATAATAATAATAATAATAATAAAAGCAGTTAATGAGACATGAAGAATGTAAACTAAAAGAGAGAAGTTCCTTCCGTAAATGGTTTAAATTTTAGTTAAAAGTACAAAGTTAGAGTACCTGATTTGATGTAGCTGATATTGAGCTGCCCGCCATTAAGAACTCGAGGATTTTTGGACATTATTCAATATATTTCTGTCCTCCTCAGTAATTGAAGGCAAAAGTCTGGCAGGCTTGAAGGGTCCAACTGTAGGAACCATGCTAAACACAGGGGCAGCATTTCTGACTCCCAACACAGACATTATTTGAATTAACTACTCTCTGGTGAGTGCATCGATGCCCGTCACAATCTGCTTAGCAGCCCAGAAAAATTAGTTATATATTTGAGCACAACCTTGCACCCAAAGGAGGGTGCAAGTTTTCTTTGAATTGAGTAGAATCGTCAAAAGTGCAAAGGTAAAAGTAGATTATATAAAAACAAATAAAGAATCAGTATGGACACTGAAAAGGTAAAGCAATTATATACCCACACACCAAAAAAGAAAGAAGCATCGCAAAGAACACAAGCACACTTGCAACTGTTTACGAGAAAATTATTAGCATGCATACAATAATTGTTCCCAGCAAATTTTAAGAATTTGCTTGTAAGTTGTAACAGATCAAAACTACAGCAATGATGAAAAGAGAATAGACTGTGAAGAAAAAGGTATAATGGCCATTAAAATCATTGTAAACTTGATCAATAACTAAATATACATGAAAGAAGGCTAAAAAACTTTGAAAACTATAATCTTTTATTCTACTCCAAGATGATCCTTCTAATGATCTTTTATAATATGTATTCTTTCATATCTTTGAAGAACAATAAATCTTGGAGACTTAAGAGTTTGCAAGCAAGCAGAATTGCTTTGAAATGAGTTGCATGATCTAGGAGGTTGATGCAATCAGATCTATTCAGGAAAAAGATTGGGCCACAAAAGGAAGGCAGGGTTGACATTTTGCATAGATGATTGGGGGCAAAACAAACCTCTTTGAAACTAGAATAAATAATACCTGTGAAGCAATTCTACCATATTAAAAAAAGTCTATTCCATTCCATTACTAAATACAATTTAAAACATCATCTACATATATGCCCTGCATTGTGGTGGCAAAGATTTCCAAGGGTCAAGGACTCAAATTTTCTGAAATACAATATCTTTAAGTAGAGTAAACAGCTGGAGTAGGAAATATTACATTTTTCTATTTGAGCTGAGGAAAAATAATTCGGAGTCTTCTTAAAAATTTCCAGTTAAGACTGTTTGAGGGGAAGTTTTCTTATGCTATCTCCAAGCATACAACTCAACAAAACCTTTTTGAGGTATAAAATCATTTATGAAGAAGTATTATGGAAAATTTTGAGGGTTTTATATGGGAAGAAAAGCCAATAAAGAATGGGTCGCAGTGTAGCAGATATTGTCACCTTCCAGCCAAGGACTGGCACTACGTGGTCCTTATTTTGATATAATTTTACTAATGGCAAATGTAGATAAACTTATTGTAAACAAAGGTAACAACAAAAACACAACATAAAGGCTATTAAGATGAAAAGAGACGTAGCACTCAAGAGACTAAAAAGAATAGCCCTCTGCCTTTAAAAGGGAATATAGGCACTATTTTAAGCCCACAAGAAACATATTTTTCTTCAAAATATAAGATCTAAAAATACCTCATCTAGAAGAAATTCTCGGAAATATTTCCCCTTCTCAGACAGCGGAAATGCTAAGGCTGCTCTCGTTTGAATAAGAAGCTGCTTCGATTGAGATTCATTTGGTAGAAATCTAGGGAAGGTAAAATCTGCTTGATTCTGTAGAATGCCAAGTTCAACCATATCCCCATTCAGATTCTCCCCACCACCACTTTTTACTGAAGTAATGAAATTCTCAAGGCTAGCATTACATCAATGAATCTTTCAGCATCAAAAACACCAGATTTCCCATATATTGTATAACGCAAAACATCCCTCAGCTGCAGGGACTCATCAGTGAGGAGCCTCTGACCATAGAAAGAAATATAAGGATATGATAAATTTATATTCTGGAAAACATTGACCAATTACCAAGAGAAAGCACGAGCAATAGTAAGAATCTTTGTGCACTCTTCCATCTTGATCCTATCTAAATTCTTTGGTGTTTGGATTGGTCACATGGATATTTTTTACGCCATTCAAGCCATCTAAAATCATGTCCCTGAAAGTCTCAGGTAGCAAATTTTTCAATACCTCCTTACCTTTCATTTCTTATTCACTTTTATCTTTTTCTTACCTTCAAGCTTAATGGCATATAATTATGTTATTTTGGTTGTTGTCAGAGCCATTAATTTAAGACACGTTTCAAAGTGTATTCTAATTAAAATTTCTAAATAATTAGATTGACCATCTACATACAACAACCTGGTCAATCAGAACTCAAAGAAAACAGTTCAAGTAATAAATCAAGTTTTTGCGGTAACAGATGTGAATTCAAATGTCTTCTTCATTCTTAATTTTTTGTCAAACAGAAA